TTCCCCATTTAAATCTAATTTGTCAATCACACGTGTTAGAAACACCACACTCATTTACAGTCTGTTTCTTTTTAAGGGCTTTTTGCCAAGACATCAAGTGTCAACTAGCTGTTTTTAATCCATTTTTTAATTAACTTTTATTTAAATCTGTGGATTGTATATGTGTTTTTATGTTCAGAACAGCTTATATACCGCATCTTACTTTGATAGTTTATTTCTCATTTGTGATAAGGATACAAAGAGCTTAAGAATGCTTTATAATATTTATTCATGTGAACTTCTTCCTGTAATGTTCAATATTTTGCTAATTGTATGTCCTCTTTGTTTTGTTTTTTATTAATCTGATAATGTAACAGTGTTTAATTTTTCAGAAAGAATTGAATTTATACCTGTTAAATCATTGCAGGATCTTATAAAGTTGCCTTTTTCCTTAAATAATTTGATCTGAAAGGAAGCCAGGCTGATATCAGTGTGTATGAGAGCCACACACTGAGGATGTTATTAGTTTTATTCATTAGCTGTGTGGAAAAATGTTTTATTCATTATCTCAGAAGTGTCTCTAGATTCCTTGTTTTATGCAATGATTAATTTGCCTTAGAAACATTGCCTTCTTAAGCATTGCAATATCCATCAAGTCCCAAATCCTGTCTGTTCGCAGTATAACTGCACATGCATTTTAACATCTGCACAAATGCTGTAGATTTTGAAACTCTTGACATGTTGGAGCATCATAAGACTCGTCATTGAGGTCGTGGAAGCTAAGAACATGTAAATAAAAATGAAAAAAGCAGCTGCAATGTATATGCATGTGAAACAGGCCAGTAACTTGGCTGTGAATTTTATTTTAAATATCTTTCCTTTTTTCTCAGCCAGTGGTGATCAATAGAATAAAAAAATACAATAATAATTGTTGAAGTGTGAATAGAAAGTCATTCATTATAGAGTGAAAATCTAAAACTTATTTTAATCTATGGGCACTCCTGGTTTGTGCAAATAAATCAAAATTAAAATATATCTAATATCTAAATCTATACGTTTTAGGAGCTGGATGTTCTTTTAAACCAATACATCTGCAGTCATTCATGATTTACTGGACAAGGATTAAGGATAAAAAAAAACTCACAATTTCTTCCTGATAAAATACTATAGAGCTTGGCATGTATATTTATTATAAAAATGCCTGTGGCTTTTTAAGATTTTATTCATTTCCGTGACTTTACCAGATATAAAAATCACACTTTTTATATTAAACTCCCTCTTACATGCAGGCTGACAGCGGAAATCCTGTTTTTCGAAGCAACTAAACAGCTGCGGAGGGATAAATAAGGAATATATTGATTTTTAGTTGTTTTATTTCATTTTATGCCTGTTTCCTAGTGAAAAATAAATATACTAAAATGTATTTAAAATACATTAGCCTAACTCTGGACAAAATCAGCAGTGTTTGATTAGCCTATATTTATTTTATTTATTACAGACATTATTTCTAAGTGAAGTAACATTTGCTGAAATATCCACAAGATACAGTATAATAGTGCTTCTGTCGATCATTTACGCCTCAAAGGGGGCATTGTAAAGCGCTTAATGTTGCTGAATGCGTTAGGAGAGTTTTTTTAAAAGACCAAACTTAGTAAACACATTATTAATAAATTATAATATGTAACGGTTTTCAATGGGTAAAATACTTAATGCTTTAAATGCATTGCATTCTTATTATGAGCTCATTTGCTTGTCTGTTCGTAGAATGCTTTCATATTAATGATGTGTTTTCTGAGATTGGTCTTTTAAAAACACTGCCTTAATGCATTAAGCCATGTTAAGTGTTGTCTGTACGGTAGGCTATTCTATGGGAGGAAAACGCTTAAAGAGGTCATAGGATGCTACATTGCACTTTTACAAGTAGTTTGAACTGAAATGTGTGTTGGCAGTGTGTGTACACAACCACCCTATAATGATAAAAATCCACCCAGTGCTTTTTTGTTAATCTACTAAAATCGAGCCGATCTCAGATGCCTGTCTGTGTGACGTCACACAGACAGGCCCCTCCCACGATAGTTTGATTGACAGTAGTGTTTCAGCACAGACTGGACTGGTGTCTTACCTTAGCTCCGCCCTGAGTGACTGTCATCAGTCCACCAGTGTTTCACCGCCGGAGCAGATGTAGACAAGAATCACTCCTAAGCGCTCGAGGTGTTCTGTTGTTGGATGTAATAATGAACATAGCAGTCGTAATTTACTCCCGACATCTGAGCCGCTGAACTCGTAGTGGATTACATTTGTTTTTGAAGGGAATGTGCCCCGATCTGTCTAAATGCGTCTATGTTCACGCGAATCATTCGTGATCCAGCTTCACCTCCAGAAGAAGTGAGTATAAGGTTTTTTAATGAATATTTGCAAATCGCCTTTTATTTTATTTTTTTGTATTTTCCCTGCAGTTAGTGGAGACTAGTCTAAAATATACAAAAACTGATCCGGCAAGAGAGGACAATGATGCTGTGTCTTATTAACACAATTCCTAATAAGAAGACACACATATGCATATACAGTGGGTACGGAAAGTATTCAGACCCCCTTAAATTTTTCACTCTTTGTTATATTGCAGCCATTTGCTAACCTTTTGTGTCCAAAATCAGCATATGGACCCACGTGAGGGTGAGTAAATAACGACAGAACTTTCTTTTTGGGTAATCTGTTCTTTTAATATTGCTTCCGCAAAATATTTATTTATTTTGGGATATTTCACATACTTTTTCTATGCTTTTTTTTCTTCTAGTATTCAAAACGGTGTGTGACAAAATTAAGAAAATCATACCTTTAAGTTTGAAACAAAAAGTTGTTAGAGACAAAAAAGGTATCTGGCTTTGACTAAATATATGAGATTGATGACATTCTTATAACCAATTTAACAAATAATTCTAAATAGCTTACTTAAATGTGAATTATTTTTAGTGTTTGTTCTATTTTGAATGTACAGGTTCCACTTGAAATGTTGCAGAGATCATTACAAATGCATGTTTGCTTTTGTTTTGTGTAAATATATACTTTTTATGCTGTGTTTATACTTTAAAAAGTCTCTCACCTTAACTTGCATTGATAAAACACTCAAAATCCAATGAGCAATGAACTAATTGAATTGCAATTGACCTTCCTTTCTTAATTTATTTGCACTTTATATGTTGATTGGTCTTCTGGAAATGCAAATTTAGTCGGTAAATGTGTTTTACAAACAAACACCACACATTTTTTATGTACTTTTAATAATTTAATATTTTGGTTCCATGATGACAATAATTTTGCACATATAACTCTTTAAACACCAAATGTACATAACATCACATTTATATTGCATCTTTGTAACACGTTTTTTCTATCACTTTGTTTGTTTAAATGGACCACTGATTCATTTTAAGAATAAAGGTTAAAAACACAGTTGTCCACACAATAATATCTATCACCAACAGCAGATGTAACTACTACACGTCACAAAACATGAGTGGAATGACTTAAAACGCATAATTTCATTCACCTGCACATATGATAACACAATAACCTTCTTTAAAAAATGTAAACAAAGTACTAGGGGCGGCAGATATAGATACTCTCCTGCCGTCGTTGAATGAACGACAACGGAGAAGTATCTCTGAATATGAATGAGCATGCATGGCGGGGTGACTAGAACAAGAGTTCAGCAATATACAGTTTAATTTAACTTCGATTTATTCACAGAGACAAAACAAAAGGAGGGGCACGTGGTTAAAAGCAGTTCTTCTATTTGAAGTCCAGCAGGTTGCAGTCGATTTTGTAGTACACGTAGGGATAGTATTCTTGCTGGCTGAGGTTCAAGCCAGGAATATCCATGGCAGATTGCTGGAACAGGACAAAGATGACAATAACTTACATAAAATATCAAATAATTCCTTGTATTTAAGCCACACAACACAAACACATAGCCTACGTCCAAAAGTAAACTTACGTCGATAATGGCAGCTGCACTGCTGTCCAAGTGCTTGTAAAGATCGTTCAAAACCTCCCTCAGCTTCTTCATGTTCTTCTTGTTGGGCTGTAGCAGCATTGCTTGGAAGTTCACAGGCAA